TGCATTTCTATTTAATACTCATCTTGATGACAAAAGTTTTTCAGTACCCAACATATGGGAAGGGGTCCTCTGTTAGGACACCTCCCCCTACTCCATGGTGGGCAGGAGTTGGGTTTTGTATTTTACCTCCCAAGACTTGTGAGGGTGAGTAAATGCAAAGTTAAAGTTCTTTGGCTTTGGCAAAATGCCCTCAGGGTAAGTGTAACAGTCAGGATTTGTGCCTCTGTGTGTGTGTGTGTGTGTGTGTGTGTGTGTGTGTGTGTGTGTGTGTTTAGTGCAGGAATACTCTGGATTTTTTCTATCACATAGATTTTGACTTGATAATTCCCTAGTTGTCAACACGTTGAGGATTTTAAAGTAAACTCAAAAAGTAATCTAGCATTTCTTTCCTTTGAGGAGGAACTCTATTATCTTGTAAACTTACTAAAAACCATAGATTTCATTCAATTTTAAAATTTAATAACTTATTTCCTGAGAGAAATTCTGTCATTCTTTTTCATCATTTTGTTCATTTCTTGTTTTGACCTGTTCTTTTATACTATAAATGAACTTGAATTTTTGATTTTATAGTATGTATTGAATAATTCTATTAACTAAACACTCAGTGGGTCAAATTTTATTGTTTGTTGTTCTGATGAATCTTGCTCACTCTGTCTTTTTTCCTGTTTTGTAACCGGGGCCTGCCAGCTTTGATTCAGTGGTGCTGCATCTCGGGGACTGTATGCCACACTTACAAGAGCATCACATGTGTAGAGGTGGTTTATATTTGTTTCTGCTCTATGCTTAAGACATTAGCAGCAGATGCCATTTTCATGTGACGTTCGTAGTTGGGAGGGTCAGAGACCATGCGTAGCCTAGGAGAGGCCTGCAGCTATGAATTCTGCAGTTTAAAAAATATTCTTGCTTGAAAGGAAAGAACAACTTGTAGATATACACATATGACTATGCATGTTTAAGTGTGCAAGATAGATAACCATACTACTAAGTTTTTGATCGAACAGAATAGTTTGTGCTGTCATTGTCAGTTCATTTTTTTAGGCTTTGATTTTGTAACTTGAACAACTACTTCTAAGATAATCAACATGTGATGATTTCTTAATGTTACTTTTTTGAAATTCTGTATCATTTCTATCCTTTTTTGTTTTGCTTTTTAAAAAAAATAAATAAAAAATAAAAATATTCTTAATATGTACATATTTTTTGTTTCTTTCTTGTATTGTCCTCTCAGATCTCAGCCCAGTTAGGCGGGCTTCTGTGCTGCTTCCCTTGGACAGTGGGTAGACTTTTGTCTACTTGCAGAGGGATGACAACAGTGAATGATGATGATATTTCAGGTGTGACTCTGCATTTCATCCATGCTCAAGTCTTTTTCTCTTGTTGTTACTGGACTGCTCAAGTGCAAGCTTTGTTTTTATTGTAACTATTTTGTGAGGCTGCAGGTTAAACCCAGAGTCTCATGTGTGCTAAGCAAGTGCTGTACTTCTGAGCTACATCCTTAGGTCTCCTTATTTTTAAAAAATGGAGACCAGTCAGTGCTTTGAGAGGAGTCCTCATACCAGCACACTTGCCACTCTTTTTTTCAACCTCCTGTTTCCCTTTGGGATTTTTCTTGCTTCCTTTTGAGATCAGCCATGCATTCAGAGGATGTTAGTTTTATCTGATGTTCCTAAGTATTTAGTAACTGGAGGTTTTTCAGTTATGCCATCAGACACACTGCTGAAAATTGAAGTAAATTCATTCACTTTTAAGGGAGAATCTACATGATGTTCAAGATCTGATTCGAGTACTTTTTTTTTCTGGTACCGGGGGATCAAACTCACATCCTTGGCACTTGCCAGGCAGATGCTTATACTGCTGAGCTAAATCCCTGGCCTCTCTGGTCAGACTTAAAAATAAAAGTTTTGGCTAATATGTTTGGAGATCAAAGACAGTGAAAGCAAGAGTTTCGTCACATTTTTACTTCTTAAGCATAGACATAAGGTGCCAATAATTATCAAAAAGGAACAAATAAATGGGTCTAGGGCACATGAATTGCTGTTTTCTCAGGCCTGTACTCACTTCTAAACATCAAAACATAACATTTCTGAGCTAATGCAAAGAGTTTTCAGGCAGACATCTGATTAGAACACTCTTGTTCATCCAGAAATTTCTTCTGATCTTGTTGACACACAGGATAAAAATCGGGTACTTAGCAAGGCTATGTCCTCCCATTCCGATGACTTCTGTCCTGGGCCACGTCCACAGGTTGGTTTTGATTTCATAACTGTTTGCAAGCTGGATTCCTCTCAGTATAGTATGATTGCAATAAAGGATGCTGAAAGTAACGCCCAGCTCTTTTCCCCATTAGTGTCCCTTATATGCACGAGAACACTTGTATAAACACATACATACTGTAAGTGCACTAATGCTGTGGGCAAATAATGACAGCTGTCCTTAGAAATTTGCTTTTCCAGAAGGCACTGATGGGGGGCAGGCTTTGGATATCAAGCACCTTTGTAACTTCCTGCCCTCCTGCAGCCCCATTCTGTGGGCCTCCTACCCGCTACGAGTGTGGCTTCATCCCAGGGTTTTCCACATGAGAGTTTACTAGGCCTGACTGATGAACTGCCAGTCAAGGTAGGCGTTAAGCAGACACCTCCAAGGCAAGAGGAACTCTCTTGGGTAGGGATTCAGGAGGAAAAAGAACCAATAGCCCCCCAACTCAAATTCCTCCCCACACTTCCTTTTTGGACAATATGGAGATTTTTAGGCAGTTTCTGGATGAGATGATGTTGACCACACGCTGCAGCTCCAGATGGTCTAGGAAGCATGAAGCAGAGGCAGCAGGATGGGTAGGGGGCAGGGGACGAGATGGACCTTAGAGATGAGGAGGAGCAAATCAGACAGAATTTGCTCAGTATGGTGTGGGGAGTGGGTGTGAGCGGCCCTTTCTAACTCAGTCAGAATCTGGGGGCTGTGATTTATCCTGCTTGTATATTTGCTCTGGGGCTTCAGAGGGGTGTTTAAACCAAGGCAAATGGTTGTGCATTGACTCTCAGACAATAACAGACTGCAGACCCATTCCCCACAGTCTAGTTTTCTAATTAGGTAGTTAAGCAGGCCAGCGCATGCCATGCCTTCCACTGCAAACATTAGCTGTAACTCCAGAGAGGAACTACCCAATCTGTGTGCTCCCTCTTGATTCTGTAGGGAGATATATATTGATTATGTAAGCTACAAATGTGCTGTGTGTCTGGTACAGAACTGGCCTCTTTTTCCTTTTCCCACACTGGTTCTTGCCTAGTTTTCTTAGGAAATGGGAAATGATAAAAAGAACTGGGAGAAGTCCTAGATCCATTTTATTATACAGCCCTCTAGGAAGGCTGAGAGACAAAATGATGCACTTAAGCTGTGTACATGGTTACATGTCCACTCTTAGCACTGGACTAAGCAATGCAGAACAGTCTTCTACATCTTCCAGCACTGTATCTTTTCCATCACCTCAGCATGATTATGTCTTTTATCTTAATCTAGATCGTTGATCCCTGGGACAGCAGCAAACAGGAGAGTCTTGGGTTTCCTTTGGGTTTGGGGAAAATTGAGAACAAGAGACCTAAATGTTCCTCAAGGAAAGTTCCTGCCAGGCTGCCCTGCCAGCCAGAGGCAGCTTTCCTGCCGGTGGAGCATCCCTCTAGCAAGTGTCCATTGCTGGACCATCTTTCCCCTTGAGCATCCCATCTGCTTACCATCATTTGAACTTCTACTGGAGATCTTTGTCCCTGTGATACAGAGCTTACCTGGGAGCAGGAAGCACTGGACCAGAGCACTCTCTCCAGGGTCCATTTTTGCCCTATGGATAGATTTAGTATTAGGTCTTTAACCTTCCAAGTTTGCCTTACCACCTGCAAGTGATTGCCTATGCCTGGGCAATTTTGAGACGTGACACCTACCATATAGAATTCCCCTGGCTGCTGACTGTGGGAGCAGAGTGGGTTCAGAGACCATCACAATGGCTCATGTGAGAGATGTGTGTGTGTGGCTCTTAAATGCCTAGCAGATACTAGTGGTAGTACAGAAACAGGTGACTACATTCTGTAGATAGAATGAATGGGATATTTTCACAGTTGGGATTGGAATGTGAGAAAAAGAGAGTAGTCAAAGACAACATCAGGGCTTTAATTCTGGGCAGCAGGAAGACTTTTGTTGCCAATAACTGAGATGGAGAGTTTATATGGGGAGCAAATTCATAACAGGGGTGGAAATATACATAGATAGCCACATATACATCCACACGGAGACACTAAGCAGATATATGGGTGTGAGTCTTAACTCAGAGAAGACGATCAGGCTAATGCCATTCATGTGGGAGTTGTTGGTTGGTACAGACAAAAGAAAGAGAGAAGAGAAGAGAAAGGGTGTGAGGACTGATCTCTGTGATAAACTAAACTTAATAGCATTGGGAGGTAATATTTCATTTCCTTTTGCCTTTATAATTTTTTTCTGTTTTCTACTGAGAATAGAGGCCACCTGAGGGCAGTGGCTGTGTCTGTTTGGTGGTCAAATACTAGGTGCCTTTATAAAAAGGTGACAAAGGATTGCATGCAAAGACTTATACCACCCAGATAGCCTCTGATGGTGAGGGGGTCCTGTAAGCTGTTGGGTAGGTGGCCTAATCCAGGTCAGGTCTGCCTGTGGCCCCATTGGTGTGGACGGTGAGAGAGAATTCTGACTATCCCTGAGCCCACACCCTGACTCCACATAACTATGTCATAAAGCTGCTTTTTGGGATCTGGAAGATGAGAGAAGTGCTGCCAAGAGGAGCCAGGAGCCCTGCAGGGTGCCAACAGAGGCCACAGCATTTGAAAGTGGTGGCTTACATGTGCCTGTGATGTGGCTCTGAGTGGAGGGAACTCATGCTCAGAGGCAGCTTCTTAGAATGCTCCCTTTCCTGTTGTGATTTTGTGTGTGTTGAGGGGGCAGGAAGTGCTGTAATCCTGTTATCCTTGTCCTTTCTAACTCAGGAGCCTAAAATCCAATTCCCGGAGAACATCAGCAAACAGAACGGATGCAGAACCAGAGGAAGTGCCAGAGGCCTGGCGTCTTTGCCAGATCCCCGATGAAGCCAGACTCGGGTGAGCTCATTCCTGACGGATGAACTTGAGGAAGGCTCAGCTGTGCCCCAGGCCTTCCCACTTTGCCCCACCTTCCAGGGCGAATCGCTTTGTCTGCACGCACACTGGTCCTCTGCACATGCTCCTTGTCTTCTGCAGACTCCCTGCCCGCCCCCCCCCCCCCCCCCATATATCAGAGTCTCTTTTTGGACAGAGTCATCTTGTCAAACAGAATTTAAGATTGATGCTTTGCATCTTTGGCCTTTTGCAGGAACAGAGAGCTGGGCATGGCTATAGGGGCATTGATCGCTGACCTCTGGTCTACCCACCAGCTTTCTGTCTCCAGAGGGTCTGTCTGGAGCTGTTGTCTGTGGTTGCAGCCTGTGGTGTTTCCTTTCCTTCCTGTCTTATAGGAAGCAATTGATAATGTGCTTCCAGACTGGTCTCTTCAAATGCATCAAAAGCCTGCAGACTCTTAAGAATCCTAAAGTAATTAGAGGCAAGCATTGATGGTGAGGGAACACACATTTTTAAATGGAAAATTAAAAACCATCCACAATTTCATAACTTAGAGACAGCCATAGTAAGCATGTGGGTTTCTTTCCAGGTTTTTTCAAGCTTGTTTATAAAGCATTGCTATGACGGTATTGCTGAGTCTACTTCCCATCTAGTTTGTATATAGGTGGGTACTACAGGTGGGTGCCAGGGAAAGTGTCAGTCTTCGAGTGTCTTGTACTGGTAAACCTCAGCTTCAAGAGCACAATCTCCCTTCTGGCCAGCAGCCAGACCAGATCCGTGTTTGAGAAATAAGCATTTTCCTTAGGCTTTATTAGCTTCCACCCAAGCCTAGATCTTCTTGCAATAACTCAGCCTCACCTCTAGAGGATGGTAGTTTCTCCCTTCCCTAGTTTTTTATTCTTTTTTTCCCCCCTAGTTTTTTATTCTGAGTTCAGGAGCATTGGCCTGAACTGCGAAGTTGCTTCTTCCTCATAGCAGAGGCAGCTGGTCAGCCTTTGTCTGTCTCTGGAATGTACCAAGTTTTTAAAAGCATTTGTTTTTCCATTTGGGATTCAAGGTACCTTTCTGTTTTTCTTCTTCATGGAAGGAGTTGGAGCTGTTGATGCTCACATTACCATGAAAGCCAGCACAGACAAATCCCACTGATTGCTAGAGGACAGCTCCAGGTTTATGAAAATGCAAGGATGGTACAGGTAACAGGGCCGTCCCTTAACTAGGTCAGAGCATCTCCTCCAGAAGAGGAAGACATAAGATCCCTAATGTTATAGTTTGAGTCTAGATGTCCCCTAAGGCTTCATACAGTCAGGGAGGCAGACTTTCTAGAGTCTGTGAATGACTCATGGTCCAACACTGGGATTATGGGTGTGAGTGCTACACCAAGGTAGATGTGGCCTATATACAATGTAAGGGGCAGAAAGAGTCTCTTCTCTGTGCTCTTCCCTTTTTGCTCTTGTTGTTTGGGCTGTTTTTCACTGCCATGGACTGTTGCCATCTGCCATGTGCCACTCTTCCTTGGAACCATCTGATTTTGGACTGATTGAAATCTCCACAAACTGAGCTAAATAAACCTCTCTTTCCCTAATTTTGAATGTTGAGTATTTTGTCTCAGCAATGAGGGAAAAGTAACTAAGACACCTTCTTTTTCCACTTTGTGCAACTGCTCTGCTTGGGATGTGTCCTTGTGCAGGGTAAACCTCACTCTAAGCATTGGCTGTGTCACTTGGCTAAGGTCTTTCCTTTGGCATGAATGTCTCCATGACCTTGTCTCTCCAGGCTGCCCTACACCTCAGTTCTCCTTCTACCCGCGAGCCTCTTCCTGGCTCTTGATCCTTTGCTCAAAATTCCTGCAGATTTCTGTCCCCATCAGCTCTGCCCATCGAGCCAGACAGCCAGGCACCTGCTCTTTAGCCCCTTGGTGCCATGACCCTCTCCTCAGAGCGGTCTTTTTCTAGATTATGTTCCATATATCTAAGATTCCAGAATTCAGTACAGTCCATCCTGTGTGTGACACCCAGCAGCTGCTGTGCGCTCCCAGGAGACCGCTGTTTGCAGGGTTTGGGGAAGGTGGTAAATGCGTGGGCTGGTATGTCTGCACACAGGTGTGCGAAAAGCCTCTCAGTATGGAAAAGACAGGGAAGGGACAAGAAAAGAGTGTCTCTTGGTCAGTGGACTTTATTTGTATTCTGGTTTGTACTGTTGCTCTAGGCTCTGAATATGGGAGGAGGTTCCTGGTACCCACAAATGTGAACATTTACTCCTTCCTATTTTACAAAGTGTGATCAAAATTTATGAATATTTAAATTAAAAAATAATCATTACACTAAAAGAATCCTTGTCATCAATCCTCCTCAAAAGTCTCCCTCTTGCTGTAAAAACACTTATACCATCATTTTTGCCATTTTTAACTTTTGTCTTTTTAAGACAGGTTTCACCAATCAATTCAGGCTGGCTTTGAACTCACTTTTTGCCCAGGCTGGTCTCAAACTCACAGCTTTCCTCTTGCCTCAACATTCTGAGTGCTGAGATTACAGGCATGCACCACCACACTGGCCTGTTTTTGCCATTTTTTTGGAAGCAATTCTAAAGGTGTGCTGTGATTGCCTTTACCAGGTGTGATAAACAGTACAGTGAATGCGGCTGCTGAGTACCATCCAATGGAAAGGGAGGCTTGTAAAAACATTGTGGTGTGTCCTCATCTACCGTGCTCACTGATCTAGCATCATGCAATTTTTGGCTCTTATACACTGTGTCAACTTGAGAAGTTTAGAAGTTTAACTAAGAGACGCAACAGGGAGCCAGGATCCTCACTTTGTAAATATCCCCAGCCTATGCAAGAGGAGGGCACAGAGGTGGTGTGAGTGCTACATCTGCCCTGGGGAGGTGGTGGTGGCAGCCTACTTACAATATAAAGGAGAAGACGCCTGTTCTCCCTTTTGGTCTTGCAGGTTTTTGCTGGCTGCTGCCTTGAAGTGTTGCCCCTGTGACATGCCGCCCTGCCTTGGAGCCGCTGATTATGGACTAAAACCTCCACAAACTGTGAGCTTAATAAACCTTTCTTTCCTTAATTTTGGGTGTCTGGTATTTTGTCCCAGTAACAAGAGAAAAGTAAACAAAGACAAACAGTAAATTGGATCAATTCAGGACATTGAAGCAGCCATTACAACACAACTAGACATGAAGGAGGGCTTCCAGGACTGCTTCAGAAAGTGGCAAGAATGATGAGATAAGTGTGTTTGAAGTCAGGGAAAGTGTTTTGAGAGGGATTAATGGCAATGTGTCTTTTATGGTAATAAATGGAAAAAATTAAACATTTATCATAGTTTTTGATTGCCCCTCATACTTACATCATTCTCTAGGAAAGAATGGAGGCTGTCAGTGGGACAAGGATCATGGATCTTCTTTTTATGTCTTCCACTATGTCAAGAGGCTCTCCTCCGTCTACTAAGTGAGGACATTGCTCCTGGGCACTAACTGATTCTACCCCGTCTCCTCTCCAGGACATCAGCAAGCTATCTGTCACTCCTCCACCAGCCCTCTGGTAGGGGAAGGCCTGTGGTCCCCAAGCCTGGAGCAGTAATAGCTCAGAATCTTTCTGTCCTGGAAGAGCCTGTCACTGTGCCACGCTGGTGCTCCATATAAGTGTGGTAACACAGATGTGATCCTCCCTGGTAGAGTAGGCGACACAGGTAATTTGAAAAGTGTACAAGAGGCAAGGACATTCCATAAGTGGAGGAAGGAGGCCTTAAATCAGCAAAAAACTTTGGGTAAGTGCCATCATGAAATACTGTGACCCAGTGCTACAGAAACTCAAGAGGTGCCAGTGAGAAGAATCATGGTGAGTGTGTGTCCAGGAGTGGCTCTGGCACAGGGGGCTTGGCCTGAGGGTAGGAAGCCCTCGGCCCTCAGGCCCCAGGATGCTCTAACTGCTGGAATCTTACCTCACTGTCTGGGCAGCGAGTGTCGAGGCAGTGGGGATGAGGCCGGAAGAAGGCAGTCATTTCTCCACCCAGCCTGGCCACCTGGCTTAGGTCCCAGAGATGCTGTCAGACTGAATGTCCTGAGGAGCAGAGGATGCAACGCTAGAGTTTAACCAGGGCCAAGCTCTGCAGCAGCTCCCTGGCCTGTCTCCCTTTCCCTTTCTCTCCCTTCTAATCTAATGCGCAGGATGAAATTCAACTTAATTAGGAGGATTATATGTCTTACAAATTTAATATTCAAGCCGAGGCTCCCTCCACCCCAGCATGTTTATTAAAGATGTCCTGGGAAGAATGTTAGTGAATCATGACATCATAAATATTTAAAATGAAGACGCTGTAGTCAGGAAAGGGAGAAAAGAAGAAAACAGATTTGTTTTTCAGCACTGAACTCAGGGTCTTGTGCATGCCAGCAAGTGCTACCACTGAGCTATATCTACAGTGCTTTTAAAATTTTGTTTTGAAAAAGTGTTTTGCTAAGTTGTCCAAGCTGCACTCAGACTTTCAATCTTCCTGCCTTAGCCTCTGAGAAGCCAGGGCTACAGAAAACAGATCATTTTAAGAACCAAAAAGGAATCACATTTTCCTCCTGGATTGAGTTTGCTGAGGAGGCTTTTTGGGCTTTCTGGCTGGGGCAGCAACATGATTTTATGATCTGGAACTGTGAGCTGTGGTCCTGTCCAAAGCTGAGTGGCCTGGGAGTACCATTTGTGCTGGCTAAGTCAGACTAGGTTTGACTTTGAGTTTGTGCTGTGGTTCAGGATGCCAAGCACATTTTTACGACTAATGCAGGAAAACAACCTGGCCCAGTGTGGCACTCATTTGGATCTTCTTCTCCAGTCCTTTGGAAGTAGAATTAGTCTAGATTCAGCAGGTGGATGCAAGAACTCCATGCAGATGTTTAGTGTTGCATAATCAAAACAGTGTTTAGATGGAAGGGGAGGGATGGGTGAGAGAGAGAGAGAGAGAGAGAGAGAGAGAGAGAGAGAGAGAGAGAGAGAGAGAGGAAAGGAGAGGGGAAAGAGAGGAAACAGGGGAGGGAGAGAGAGAGGAAAAGGGAGAGAGACAGAGCCCTTGGAAGAAGCCTCTAAATTCATCCCCCCACCCTGGGCAGAACTTTCTGTGATGAAATGATACGTGGGCAGTCATAAATGCAGATTCCACTCATTCATTCATTCCCATAGTGAATTCCTTAGCTCATGGTGAAGGACATAGAGATAAATAAATACAGTTGCCCTGTCTTCCACAGTTGAGGGTGGGTGGGTGGGAAGACAGCCCAGTCCATGGACACTCACACTGCACGTGATGCTGCCACAAGAGGGGGAGGATAAGGGCCTGGAAGAGCCTGCAGATACTTCCAGATTTGTGGGCAGGGCTCTCAGGGAGGTATCTCTGGAGCAAGTGGTAACAAGCTCAGGCTTGGAAGCTGAGCAGGGGTTAGCTAAATAAAGGAGACAAGAGATCTAGGCAGGAAGAACGCCGCCTGAAGTCCCTGAGCAGAGAGAATATGGTAGAGTAGGGGAATTGTAGGCAGCTCAGGAGAATGTGAACATGGAGAGAGGGCAGGGTTGAGGGCCAGGGATGAGGTGTAGGTGGCACCAAAGAGAGCCTGGGAGAGGACTCCAGGAGAGGACTCGAGGACAATGGTCGATGAAGATTGGGCAGGGACTGATGCAATCTGTTTCCTGGTTACAGAACAGTTCGTGGCTGTGGGTGGAGATGGGGTATGGGGGCCATGGCCCAGGCCGGGAGACTAACAGGGAGATTGGATCAGTGTTCTCTGCTTCTGCCTGGCACTGGCTGAGTTCAGGGAAGAGAAGCTGGAGGCCTGGGCTAAGCCAGTGGCAGAGAGTACTAGAAAAAAGTGGGCTGGCTTGGGAGACTTCCGTTTCTCATTTGCTTTCCCCTATTGTGTGTTACAGAGAAAGCAAAGATGACTCTGACAGGGCAGGTGCCTGGCCACCCATGAGGGCACCTCCCTGTTTAGCATGCCCACTAGTTTTGTTGGTGCCTCTGTCACCCCAAAAATTTATGAGCACAGACCCTGCTCCCTGAGCTCTAGGGTCAAGGCACATAGATGGCTAGGATCAGAGTTGCCATGGCAACCCAAGGCAAGTTTTGTCTTTGTCCTGGCAGATTGGAGGTGATAGAGACAAAAATGCTGTGATGAACAAAGGGTTTTGTGCCTGAATGGAACTGAGGAAAAGACCTCGCCTAGCAAGGGCTCCTTGAGGGTGGGGCAAGGAGGTGGGCAGTCCTGGGGAGGCAGCGCTGGGCTCGTAGCTATGGTAACAGAAAATGGTATGGAGCTTGGGACAAGGCCCTGCCCAACCTAAAACACAGAGCAGCCTTGCCTTTTGAGACCTGGGATCGAGGGGCAGAGGACACTGAAAGTGTGCATGTGGGCATCAGGCAGGTCATAGGCCAAGGTCACAGAAACCAAGATCCAGAATTTTCTGGGAGAGATGAGGGTTTGTGAAAGGGCTTCTGTGCTGCCCCCTGATCATGGTCTTGTGACATGTGGGTCTCAGCTCTGTGAGGGCGTCTTATTCCATCCTCCCTGAGACAAGAGAGCAGGGACCCTTTCCTCCAACCCCTCCCTCAAGCCCTGCACACCAGCTTGGCTTTGGTGTGGCCCCTGTTCCAGCAGTGCCTTGTGCAGGTGAGCCCCAGGGTGGGCAGCAATTCCTACAGCTCTAGTGACATTCTGGTGAGAAGGAACAGTGTTCCAAAACCTGGGAAACAGAAGCAGATAGTGGCTGGAATCCTTAAAAATCTTCTGAACCCCTGACTCTTTTTCTACTGCATCCACAGGGGCCTACCCCCTTCTTCGTTTCCTCTGTGAGGTACCTAAGAATAGGAGAGAAGGACGAGGAACTGATGTCTAATGCTGCTCCTAGTTGCCACTGGCTGGGTCTGCCATGTGCTTGAACTTTGTATTTTCCCCTCCCCTCCTCTCACCTTGCCCCTCCCCTTCCCTTCCCTCTTCTGTTCTGTTCTGTTCTCTTCTCCTCTCTCTCTCTTTCCCTTCCTCTCTCCCCCTGCCTTCTCTCTCTGTTTTTTCTTCAAGGTCTTGCTAAGTTGCCCATGCAGGCCTTGAATTCATGACCCTCTGCCTCAACTTCCTGAGTAGCTGGGATGACAGGCATCCACCACTGTGCCCAGCTACATTATTTTCTACACTGAACATAATAGCTCATCTTAGCTACCCAAGGAGGTGATTGCTATGGTCTCCCCATTTGACAAGTTGAGGAAACAGTGGCCAGAGAGCAACACAAGCTCCTGTGGTTGGTTCAGCAGAGGGAATGGCCTGGGATGTCCTTCCTCCAAGTCAGTGTATGGCTATTTACTTACTGAAAGTTTGGGAGGGAGGTCAGCAGCAACTGAGGACCTGGCATCATTTCTATAACCAGGTTGAACAGCCATGGGGCTTTGTGACATTTTCAGGGGCACTGTTTTCTAATTTGCCAGGAGGTTTGCGCCGGGCCGGGCCACTAACTGTCATATGGTCTGAAGGGCTAAACCCTGTTGGCTTCAGGGACTTTGGGGGTGCCCTGGAGAGTGAGCAGAAGCTGGAGATGGGTTGGAAAGGTGTCCTTGATGGTGAGGAAGGCCTGGTGTTGCCTTACGGTGGCCTTGGAGGTATTCTGGTCCTTCTGGAGCTTGTTCTGACTACGGGAGGTGTTTGAATGAATAAGGGACCCATTGCCTGCTTCTTGGAGCATCATTTTCACATACCCAGGAGGCGCAGAGGTCCCTTGGCAGGGCCTGTATCTCCCTGGAAGGAATCTTGCTTCTGTCCTAATTTCTGAGTCCCAGGAAGCTTATGTGCCAAGTGTAAGCTGTAACATTGAGAGATAAGGCACAGACTCTCAAGCTGGACTGCTGGATTCCAATCCTAGTTGCCCCAGCTATTCGCTGTGACTTTGCTGAGTCACCTAATGTCTCTGCATCTTATTTTTCTATCTATGGAATGGCAGTCATAATATTGCACAATTACATGAATTAATACATATTTTCAATTAAAGAAAAATGGGGTCAGCAGCAGTAGCACCCCTCAGAAATTACAAAAGAATGTAGTGGGTGACTAC